TAGATACCTGGACTGTGCAGTTTAGAGATGGGAACGAGCTGCCCAATGCACAGTGGCCTATTTCCATAAGGGTCACGCACTGCGTAGATTACATCTTTGAACATGACCAGCAGTGAGTATGATGTTGGCGTTTCAGTCATGAGGTTTTTAATTCTACAAAAAAAAAAAATAAGCAAATAAAAACAGTATTAAAGTAATGTCAAGCAAAAATATTTATGCTTATGTATCACTAGGTCACAACAGTCACCTGGCAACCCAGTCAGGTGAGTCTAGCTCCTCCATAGGTGGAGTCAGTGCCAGCAGCTGGGTGATGAGCTCGCTGTCTGAGCTAGTGGAGAGGCCGACACCATGGCGCATCACCTACAAGGCACATTTATAGTGACTGATTAATTATGGAATAATGTTATTTTCTGTGGAAATAGCAGTCTTTGGAAAATTTTATAATGGAAATGGTTGTCACACCCCTGCCCTCAAAGAGCCACTCAACAGCCACGCTGGGAAAGAGACACAGGCCAATCATGTTGTTGCACTGACGTCTAGGCTCGCCTGATGTTCATGATAGTTTTAACTGCGCTTTGGCACAACTGCTATATAATGACACAAAGATATACATAAGTCTACTTATTGTTTTTCCTTCAATTATTGCATCTATAATGTGAGTCAGGACTCTGGAGAAAAGTGTTTTGTGTTTTTGTTTTTTACATTTTTTTTCTAAATCAGTCCTGCTTTTACGTCTCAGCGGCCATCAAAATGAAATTTATGGGTTTTTCAGATCAGATAAAGCTACTTTAAGATTCTGGCTTGTCACAAGAGGTTGGCCACATGTTTAAGTTGGCAGAGTTTTATGCCGGATGACTTTCTTGAAGCACAAAGAGGATTTGTGTCTCTGGCTGGAAATGAAACAGTGACCTTTAGTTGCCAACTGAATGTTATCAACTAAATCGTTTTAAAATAGTTGTCCACATAATCACCTGAAGCAGTTTCCAAGATGGCTGCTGAGCATAAAGCACAACTGAGAGTATGAAGTTAATCCATTGGTCTATGGATGATCTATTTCAGCGTCCAGTTCAATAGGTAGTACACATATTTCATATAAAGGTCTGGCTTGTCTTAAAAAACATCTACATGACACACAGATTTTTGTTAGTGATCACAAAGTGCACTCGAGAAGGGACGTTGATGTGATCCAGCTGGACTGAGCATGTTTCAGTGCCAATTATGAATATGATACTGACTTCTTGTTAGGAAAAGGGGAGGCAGTCTAAATTTACCTAAAGAATAGGACTTATTTGATGTAAAGCTTTAAATTTCCTTCTGAAAGGTTAGTTATGTATAATTGGTTGAAAACCAAATCCAGCTGACAAGGTCTGCGTTTAAAAAATTCTTATTAATTCATCGTAATTGGTCGACTAGATATATAATATAAAGTGCATGGATTGTCATAAGATTCCTTTAAAGGAAAAAAAAGAGGACAGTTATAAATATGCACTCAGTGAATGTGCAGGTTTGTATGAAAGCATAATCATAGAAATGGCAGTGCCGAACGAGCAGATTATGGTAATACAGCTTTCTCAAGATCCACTTATACAACCAGCATGAGTCTCAAGTCACCTTTGACAAGGTAAATGTAATCGATTTACTGAACCATCAGAGTGATGGCAGAACTTCAAAAAGCCTGTTTGAGCGTTCAGACTTTTGAAATTTAGAGTGAAGTTTAAGAGAGCAGTTAATGATTTGGTACTGATTTTTCATGGCAAATCATGTGTGGAATTCTCACAGTGCACATTCTCATAAATATAATCAAAACTTCCTGTGTATTTTAGCCTCAGATTGGAAGAGAGGTTGCTGAGAAAGGTGAGAAAAAAACAGGATGGGAACACATTTGTTAAATTATGGTAAATGGCCTGTATTTGTATAGCGCTTTACTAGTCCCTAAGGACCCAAAAGCACTTTACACAACCAGTCATCCACCTATTCACACACATTCACACACTGGTGATGGCAAGCTACATTGTAGCCACAGCCACCCTGGGGCAAAATCAGTTTAATATAGCTTACATTTTATAGATTGGTTTTTTTTTTGTTTTTTTTGTTTTTTTAGATTTTCAGCCTGAAATGTTCTTAAGAGATATACATTTTAAAAAACTATTAATTTTGTATCTCATTAATGCAAGCATTAACTGTAGATACAAATTCTTTTGAGAGTGCAAAGCACTTAATAGTCAAACAAATCCTTTGACTGGATGATGGATGCAGCTCTGGTATGTGAAAGTGTTGACATCCAGCCCATAACCTTCGTTAAGATTGGATATAGCAAATAAATATTTCAGCAGAAAGAAAATCTGTGTGTGTGTGTGTTCAGTTCATTATTTTTATGTCACATTGATATGCGCAACATTCAGCGTGGACAAGCAGAGCCCCTCCTCACCTTTTTCCGCAGGGCATGGGCATTAACCAGCTCTCCATTGTGTGCTACAGCAATCTTGCCATGCAGTGTATCCACCACAAAGGGCTGGCAGTTCTGCAGCTCTGAGATCCCAGTGGTTGAATAGCGTGTGTGGCAAATGCCGAGGTTACCATAGCGCAGTTTAGTGAGAGCCTCTGGTGAAAAAGCGGTGCTCACTAATCCCATTCCCTATAAAATGACAACATTGCTCTGTGAAGGTTTTAACTTGCACAAAAATATTTGCATAAAAATAAACAGAAAGTGATGTTAAACAGCAGAAAATTAGCAAACAATGAGGATGTCTGAAGGCTTTAAAACAAATCTGTAAAGGCCAAACATTAAAGTGCTCAGTGTGATTCTGACCAGCTGGGTTGTTTCGATGTAACTGTGCCAAATGGAAATATATTCAGGACGCAACCCAAATACGTCCTGGGTCTGTTTTTGAGATGCTGGGTTAAACTGTGCTTCTGTTTTATCATACAAGAAGCTTCTGATCATGATTCAGTGTTACCTTGTGTGCTGTGTACGTGGGTGGACTGGCTCCATTACTTGTGACAATCCCAGCACTTTCCTGCCCCCTGAGTAGACACACACACACACACACACACACACAACATTACAGTGTAAATTTTCATGTATTAGTGGGAAGTGTGTTTTTTTGCATGAATGATTTCTGTTTCTTCTCTGCAAGAATAAACTTTCAGTCAGTTACGGTTGCCTTTAGGCAAATCAAAACTGGTTTAACGAGGGCCAAATGGAGCAGAAACAAAATCCCCCCCCAAAAAAAGGAAAAAGCAGATTTGCTTCCCTGCGGTGAGGCTGCCATATATGGAGAGTCGCCTTGCTGCAGTTTCAATCCATTACCAAGCTGCTTCTCAGATTACACTTAGTCCCGCCCCCTCAGCACACAGCTTAAGCCAGTGGTGAGGCTGCTTTTCAGCATGAAGGCGTTGCTTTCAGGCTTAACCGCCTGGTTGCCTAGGGAACCGGGCAGCAGAGACAGACAGGCTGGGGGAAAAGAAAGCGTTTCCAGGTCAGCTCAAACATGGAGAGAGGAGCAGAGAGACAAAGAGGAGGTGATAGTGAGGTGGGGGAGGAAAAAGGCTCAGTGGAGAGGCAGTGGGGGGAAGCAGAAGTGCTGGCTCTACTCTCAGTGTGGGACCAGGTTGGAGCTCAGCACGTAGTAGAGAGCAGAAGCACATTTGAGGTGATTTCAGAGCGTCTGAGGAGGCTCAGTGTTGTGCGCAGCTGGAGGGAGTGTCAGGCCAAATGCAGAAGCATGAGACTTCAGAGCAGGAAGGCTGACGCAGGCACATCGGCAAACTACAGCCAAGGAGTGGAAGAAAGGCCGCTTGAAGGTCCATGGGAGGAAGAAGATGTGGATAATCAAAGAAGAATCTACCCAGTCCAGGAAGGTAAACATGTTCAACACCAACTGTACTATTGATGATAACAACATGACTTTTTCCACCTTGGGAAAAAACAAAACAAAACAAAAACTGGCATCCAAGGATAAACAGACTCGCCAGTTAAAACTATTCTTAGCTTACTTGTGCTAAAAACTAATTCAAGGACTTACATAAAAGTCATCTTGTTTTTCTTTGGGTTTTTTCCAAATCAACATTTAGCCAAAATTTACAATGTTTTCATGTGTGCACAGGAATGAAGACTCGATTTCATTCAGCTGTTTCTTACTCTACTAATGTGGCTGAAGAGGGAGGCCGCCACTGGACGGATGACGAGGTTAGAGCGCTGCTGTGCGTCTGGGCTGACCGCAACATTCGGGAACGTTTGAAATGCACGCTGCGCAACAAATCCATATTCCAAGAGATGGCTCGTCAAATGCAGAGAAACTTTGGGGTGATACGGAACTGGAAACAATGCCGTACAAAGTACAAGAATTTGAAATATGACTATAAGACTGCGAAAAGTGCACACGCTGCGGGAGGAAGCGGTGCAGGAAGCCCGGGGAAATACATGAAGTTTTTTGATGAAGTGGAGGCCATTCTACTGGACAAAGGACTGGAAAATGGGACCAGGGAAATGCAGAAGAGACTGTATGATGGTGAAATGGAAGCAGGGAGGCTACAAACGCCAGCAGGCCACACAGGGCAGATAACGGGCTCTGAGAGTGAGGTGGTCATCGAAATTGATGATGGTAAGCATCAAGTTTGCAAGCAGTTGTTTTAGATTCAAGGCTTTGTGAAAATAATTTTCTTATATATTTATCATTTAAGATGACAACAGTGATGATTACGACATGGATGGAGAAATGGAAGTAAAATGGAGAAGTGCAGGTATGCCGAAAAAGAAAAATCTGCCAAATCAACCGTGGAGTTTAGTAGCATAATTAAACTTTTCCTTCCGTATCTGTTCTTCTTTTATCCCAGACGCCCATCTAGCACACACAGACTCCAGCTCTGACCAGTTCCAAGTAGTCACAGTGTCGGACACGGGTCGAAACTGGAGCGACCAAGAGGTGCGAGCCCTGATCCAAGTCTGGTCGGATGAGCGCATACGCAGGCAGCTGGAGAGCTCAACCAGAAAGAGGGACATCTTTGTCCAGATCTCGAACAGGTTAATGCAACAAGGCATTGAACGTGACTGGAAACAGTGCCACACAAAGTACAAGAACCTCAAGTATCTCTACAGGTCCCTTCAAAGGGGCAAGACTGACGAAGCTGACCCGAGACGCCTCATGAGGTTCTATGAGGAAGTGGACTCCATTATGAATCGCACGGCTAATGACTCTCTGCGAGACACAGGAGCAGCCGAGTCTGCAGATTCAGGCGGACTTACTACATCTGACAACTGTGATGAGAAAAATCACGTGGACGGCAAGTTGACAAGCACGAGGAGAGCTGTGGAGGGAGCCGTGGAGGACAAAACCTGCACCTCTGATTCGGACTTATCAGTAACCATCGAGGCTACATCAAATGCTTATGAGTCAAAGCGACATAAAATTAAGGAGCATTATCTGGATCAAGAACACATGTTGATGAGTGAGCTGATCATTTAATCATCATTATTATCAGCATGAATTACATGAAAAAGATTACATAATCCATTTAGTGGTCAGTTACCATGAGTAAGATAATCAAGCAGGACCACCTCGGACAGCCAAAAACAAATGTTTTTTTTGTTTTGTTTTTTACATTATGTCTTAAAATATCTCCCACACACAAAACAAACCGATGACATTTAGTTCAGGGTTCTCCCTGGCTCACAATAGACTTTTCTTGGCACTGAATCTGTTACCAAATGTGATAGAAAATGCACAGATTTCTAACCATTTCCTTAGAAATCAATCAATGCATCGACTGAACTTTAGCTTCATTATCTTGCCCAAGGATACTTCAATGTGTAGACGAGAGAAGTCGGACATCAAACCAACAACTTTCCAATTAGTAAACAACTTGGTCCAACTTGGTTTTAAAATATATTATTATATTATTATATACATATAAAATATATTGTTATTATAGTTTAAAGATATTATTTAAAAAGGAGTCCCGAGGTGGTCTTAAGCCAGTCTTACTATGTTTAGTACCAAGACAATTCTTTTCTTTTGTAGCAAAAAAAAGCATATTTGTATTTTTGTAACTGCCTTTAATATTATATTTTTGCAGGTGCTTCTGAGAGTGTGGTGGAAAGAGAGGATACTACTTCAACACACAGAAGAATCAAGAGGAAAGCTGTGGATGAAGGTCTGAAATATGTCTCCTTCTGTAATCCCTTTTAATGTCACATGACATCCACAATTGACTGAAGCTTTTGTAATTTCTGGCTAAGTCCCATGATGTGCCGTGTCGCCTCATAATTAAATTATGGATAAGGATATGGTCGTGACTTCTAATAAAATGTACAACTCACATAACCCTACTAGGAGCTAACATGTTACACTAGTAGTACTTGAAAAGTAAGTTAATGTAAACCTTTGCCCTTCTTATTTCCAGACCCTGGACTGCACACACCACTAAAAAAGCTAAACATTGGGCCTCTCGTTGCTGAAAGACTCCACAGCCAGTGTAAAGAAGAGCAGGACCATATTCCAATAATAAAGATCAACTCAGTCTGTTCAATGGCCACCCCTGCTCCGTCGCCGTCGCCAGAATTACAGGTAACAGGCGACCATTGTGATAATCAGTTAATCATTTTTCAAATAAAAATGCCGAACATTAAAATTATGATTGCAAACTTAAACGTGTTTAGGTTTTAGATTGTTTCAGATTGCAAAAACAAAGATTAATTGATTAATGCATATATCATAAAAAACAAAAGCTGCAGCTCTATGCTTTTATGAATGAAAACTGTTATGTCTTAAGGGTTATTTACTAATCCATGTCAGAAAATCCCAGAAAGTTGATTTTCTTCATCTGGTCACAGCATTTTCAATGGAAATGTTTCATCGCTTATCCAGGTGACTTCTTCAGTATCGGCTGACTGCAGTTTTCCACAACTTTACAGTACAGTACTTGAGCAGTATAGCTGCATAACAACCGAAACCAGCACCATTGACTAACAATGAGCCACAAATTCAGTTTCATGGTCATTAGTATGCAAACTGTCATGACCATTGGTAGCACGAGTACCATTTAGACAGTGTTAGGAACTGGCTGCAATCACATCACTCTAAGATGATGAACAATAGTTCAAAGATGTCATCCCCTTTTCACATAACGGCTCGCCACTCAAACCAGGATGTGCACATCGTCACTGAAAGAGTGGCCACTGGCCTGTAGGTGTAAACAGCCCTGTCCTGATGAGCTAGCTCTTCTGCGCTGTGCAATCTGCTAACCGGAGGTTGTCGGGTTGGCTTTCTAAATTCAATGAAATTGGGAGAAAAAGAATAATATAGCTAGATGAAGAAAACCAGGCTTTTTGGTTCATGAAGACATTTCCCCTTCATGTGTGAAGCTTTTTCAGTTCCAAAAACTGTCCCAAGTATTTTAACCCTTAGTGGGGTTGTGCCCTTGGAGGGTGTCCTGAGGATCGTTGACCCACCCGGTTTCTATGCAAGTTGTTAAGGGTCACATTAGTTGAGCTGACATGTGACTAAATGGATGGGTTATTTCGGTCACAAGACCTAAGTGTGAATTCTATGTGGGATAGCTTCATGAACCAAAAAAGAAGTCCAGTTGCCTTCAACTCAGTAACTTAAAACTAGCATGGTCTCAACAACTGTATCGAATATTTCATCAGAACCAAGAATGTGGCAATCATATGATATGTTTTCAGAAAAGCTGCTTGATAAAATGTTGCTAACTACAGTAACACTTTAAAAGGTGTTTTGTGTTTCCACTGTACCAGAGTCGATGAGAAAACAAAAAATTGCTAACTGCTAGTAAATCAAATCTGGCTTTTATGAGTGTAGACTCAAAGATTGTACAAAAAAAAGAAAAAAAGAAAAGCTATTGAGTAGTCTTTTGCTCAGTGTGTGCTCAAGAAGAACAGAAGAAAGCAAGGCCTTCATTGTTTAAGAATGTATGCTTCAAGTATTTAGCCTGAGAACATTGAGCTTCAAGAGGTCATGCTTGGTAATATCAGAAACCTGTGCCAACTTCTTAAACACAAGGCAGAAGGTAAGACAGCCTTTCAAAAATGGCTAAAGACAGCCTGAATTAGACCAGTCCTATGATGTAGAACAAACTGTCAGGATGCAGGAGATCAGTTTGGAGAGCTACAAGGTCTCAATATTTCTCTCCAAAGAACGTCACAAACCAACTCTGGTATGCAGGCTGTCTGCTGAGTCCCACAATGAGGCAAAAAGGCAAAACTAATGATGCTTTCCAAAGCGTTTTTGTGAAGGCATCTACCATTGTGGTAGATCACAGTGCCACAAATCAGGCAACCACCCAAGTAAGTGATTGATGTTTTTTTGCACAGCTTGCAAAGCATTTCAGCAAAATGGTCTACTGACACAGTAGAAACTGGAGAAAACCCTGCTTATTGGAAAAATTGATTCTGTGGGAGATGAATATCCAGAAATAGTCCTGCCTGTGTTCAGGCTTTACTACCCATTCAGTCCCAGGACAGAACCTGTAGAAATACAGGTTTTGCAGCAGAGTTTAAGATTGTTGTTTATTATAACATTCACCTCCTCTGAATCAGGAAGGCACTTTACTGCACTGGGCAAGTGGATGACCTGGCTGCATTCAGAAATATATAGCACTTTGTCATAACCACCAAAAAAAGCTGGTTATCCCAAAAAGAAAGTTAGTGTGCAAGGAAGCATGTGGCATATTTGGTGCTTTTATATGAAGTAATCCAATGCCCACTCAGAAAGAGTTGAGTGCTTGGTTGCCAGAACATTATAGAGAACCATGGTGTGGCTGCGGCTGTGGCTCTTTACACTTAACACAGCAATCCTTGCCTGGGATCCTCTTAAGAATAACATGTCCTTCTAATATAGATAGCTAAGGGAATGTTCCATTTTGAAAACCAATAACACTGCAAGAATTATTACAAAACATTAGGGATTAAATACAGTTAAATTATGGTATAGCAATCAAATGGCTGAGTACTCTCCAATACTGGAACAACAAATTCATGCATATGTTTTTTGGTTTTATACAAAGTGATTTTTTTTTGTTGTCCACAGTGTTGAACCTAAACTTATGCACATGTATATAGTTCAACCTTAGGAAATATGCAAAGCTCGCTTATTCTTGCCTTAGTAATGTATTTACACATACATAAGGGTTTTTTTTAATAGTTTTCTCTAGACATTGGCTGCTCTTTCACTCATTTTCAGTGTAGACCTTGTCACTGAGCATTTTTCACTCTTCATGTTTTTCATTTTTCAAATGTTTGACCCATGTCAAAGAACAAGAAATGGGGTGGGGGGGTGGACTGTCAAAGGACCTAAGAGATGGATTTGGTTCTTCAGCTGCTTTATGTACTGCTCACTGAATCCCGATCAGAAATCGTGGTCAGTGGGAGGGTGGCTGTAAAGACGTCATTCTTAAGGAGGGGGAGCATGGAGGAAAATCTGAGGTATGCCAAATAACACAAGAACTGGACTGAAAAATCAGTGGCGACAGGTCTGATGTGATTAATTCATATTCAATTGTTGGTTCAAACTGCCATCAGTGTTTTCAAAAAAAAGCAAGAGGTAAAATAGAGAGCCATCTTTAAAACACAGTGGAGGCTCTATCATGGTTGCATTGCCTCTGATTCAATTATAATAAAGAAAAATACTGACAGATTTTGATCTAGCATGGCGAAGAAGCATCTGATTGATGCCTCATTTTTCAGCACAGCAGTGATTCCAAACACACTGCCAATGCAGGAAATGCATACCTGGACAGAAAAAACACACAATGAAACATGGTCAGTCATGGATTGGCCTCTCCAGAGCCCAGCCTCAACATTTTTAAAGCAATGTAGGATCACAGAATTGACAGACTGACAGAAAACAGAACAAGAGGAAACAAACATCCAAAGACAAACTTTGAATGTCCTTCAACAAGCCTGGAGAACTAGTCTCGAAGGTTACTTACAGAAGTTACAAGAAAATTTCCGTAAGAGAATTCAGGTTGTGTTGAAGAATAAAGGTTGTCATAGTAATATTTGCTTTGACGCTCTTTAGAGTAGTAAAAACTCAGTTTTTGTCTTATACAGCCTATTTCTGTGCATATTTAAAAAGTCACTACAGCTTGTTTTCTAATTTTCCTGCAAAATATAAAGAAATGGGGGGCGGGGGTCAATATTTTTGCACAATACTGTATATGCGTAACGGTTGCTTTCTGTAAAAATTCACATCTTGCATTTGCATTTTTGTTTTTCTTGCTCAGGTTTGGGTCAGATTCAAATTTAAACCAAACATTTCATCTAAAATGCAAAGCTCGGACGTCATTAACTGGTGTGGTAACTTTTCAGTCGTTACAAATGTTGGAGTAACTGGTTTTCCGTTACTTACCTGTGCTGTAACGCCACCAGCCCCAAAGTTAAGACCTGAGCCACCTCCAGCTGTGTGGGCCACTCTCCCGCAGCGACACACCCAAAGACTCCGCACTCCTCTCCAATACCCGACTCCTCGAACTCCATGGGCTCGCCCGTCGCCGATGCCTCTCGTATAAACTGCGGTCTAGTCTCGCGCCTAGTTGTCTGTGAGCAATTACCGTGCGCGCGCGTGCTTGCCTGATACACGTTCGTGACCAAACACGTGCTTGCAGCGATACAACGTGGTTTGTTAAAACATACCAAACTCAGCTGACACTGCTGAATTGGGCATGAAATCACGAGTAACAGAGTAAAATCAGACTAGACACGTTTTAACCTAACAACCGGTCCGCCATAACTAAAATCATAACGAATTAAATGAAATACGTGGAATTGTACGAATAATTCTAATCAAACTAATCGATTAGGTCAAAAACCACACTATTTAGTCCTGTTGGAGCTTTTGATAAGACAACCTTCTCATCAAAGAATAAAAGGATGAACTTTGGTAGAAAAACCTCCAAAAGTTTTTTTTTCCTTTTTCTTTTTTTTTGTTTTTTTACGTCTTGTCTTGACGTTTGAGCGCTTCCCTTTCACGTGGTAACAAATGCGCCGCTGTGATTGGTTGTTTAGATGAGTTGAGAACTGTGATTGGCTCCCGGCGCAAGTAAGACACGGCCCACTTCCCCTCCCCGCCTGCCTGCACACCTTCTGCTTCTCAATAAGTTAACTGGCGTGTTTTGTGATTTGTCTTTCAGGACTGTTCAGGATCGACGAGCGCCATGGCATCCACCCCAGGTACTGTACGATCCTTAATGCACACGTTAGCGCTTAAGTTAGATGTGCATGTTTTAACTTTTTCCTTTTTTTTCAGAGTTGAAAGTCGGCCAAAAGCTCAATGAGGGCAAGACAAAACAGATTTTCGAGCTCTTGGACCAGCCGGGACTGGTTCTAGTCCAGTCTAAAGACCAGATCACGGCTGGGAATGCCGTGAGGAAAGATCAGATGGAGGGCAAAGCTGCCATTGCCAACAAAACTACGAGCTGCGTGTTCCAGCTGCTGCAAGAGTCTGGTGAGGACTTATTGAATGTTTGTAGGGGGGGGGGAACAGTATTCTGCAGTCTGAGTGGGTTGGGGCAGTTGTGTCAAACTCACCCTGAAGCAACTTTCCCACATGGAGAGAACCGATGTTTGGTAATGTAGGCGCTTTAAAGCGCATCTGTATAATTATTGCAGCTCTCTTTTTTTCCCCCATAAAAAAGTCCCTTACACTTGGCCAGTATCTAGGCACATTGTTTCTGCAGAAGGTTTTGTGAGCAACAGATTGCTTCAAAGATAGATTGATTCAGTAGAGTGACTGGAAAAAAAAACAAACTTTTGACTCATTGATCTTTTTTCAGTTTCAGTTAATTTGGGGGCTTAAATGTTAAGAAAATATAAAACGTTTGTCACACTTTGTCAGAGCCCTGGCTCACATATTCCGTTTGCAGGATTTTTCTAAAATGCCATTAGATTTATTTAAATATCTCAGAAGTACATGGTAATCATTTTCCCACACATGGGAAGCAGTTCGGTTCTTATTTTTTCAACTTTTTAAAAATGACTTCCTTTTTTTTTTTTTTTTTTTTTTAATAAACCTTCTGAATGACAGTCCACTGAGAACTGAATTGTATGTTGTGTTTCATGGATGGGGGGTGGATTGAACAGAAATGACAATCTTGCAAAAATACTGTGATGGGCATGCAAGATTTACATGATCCCAAAATTACTTTCCATATGACTTTAATTTATAAGCAATTGGCTAACTGTAACCATCTTGTGTGTGACGCGTAGGTCAGTCAAGCTGTAGTAATGGCTGCCTTGTGACTTGATGTGTTTCCACTTAGAATTAACCAAATCCAACCAACCACATCCCGTCCACTTTACCCTAATCAAATATAGGTTGAAATCATGGTAACTTGAAGAGCCATCTGTGTGCCAGTGTATACAAATTAAATAAAATGTTTTTCTAATCTCACGTGGTTGCACATATTGAAATTTGTCCATTAGTTTGAGGTTGCTCTAACATCCACCCTTTTTTGCCCCCCCAGGCATTAAGACAGCTTTTGTTAAGCAGCACTCGGACACGGCGTTCATTGCAGCGCACTGTGAGATGATACCCATTGAGTGGGTATGTCGCAGAGTGGCGACTGGATCTTTCCTCAAGAGGAATCCAGGAGTCAAAGAGGGCTACCGCTTTTCTCCTCTAAAGATGGAGATGTTCTTTAAAGTGAGTCTTCCAGGCGTGCAGTGATTCTCTCGATGCATTTTCAGTCTGAGTGTTGCACACAAACTCATCAATGATTGTTTTTAGGATGATGCCAACAATGATCCTCAGTGGTCAGAGGAGCAGCTGCTGGAGGCCAAATTCTGTCTGGCTGGGCTCACTATTGGTCAGTGTGAGGTGGACATAATGAATCGCAGCACTGTGGCCATTTTTGAGATTCTGGAGAAGGCCTGGGCCACTCAGAACTGCACCCTGGTGGACATGAAGGTAGGCTGTGCAGCACCTCCCCCTGCTGGTTAATGTCGTATCTTGGTGCAATCACTTTTCTTCTGTACCTACAGCAGAACTACAACTAAGGACTTTTTTTCTTTGCTTATAGATTGAATTTGGTGTCAATGTGAAAACTCAAGAGATTGTGCTCGCTGACGTGATCGATAATGATTCATGGAGGCTTTGGCCAGCTGGAGATCGGAGCCAGCAGAAAGATAAACAGGTCATGCATTGACTTTATTTTCATGCTGATATGAGGAAAAAAAGATACAAGCCTTAAACTGTTTTTTTTTTTTCTTCCCCTTTGTAGGTGTACAGAGACCTGAAGGAGGTTACCCCAGAGGCAATGCAGATGGTGAAGAGGAATTTTGAGTGGGTCTCTGAAAGGGTCAAGGTACAGCAAACAAATTCTTCTCTTTTCTTTTTTTTGTTGTAGTATTTTTTTGTTTTGACTATCTTACCTTGTTTACCTTGTTTGACGTCTCCAGCTGCTTTTTCTGTTTTTTATGTAATTCCGGGTACAATTTTTCTTTTGAGCAGTCAAAAATTGAAATAAACTGATGATTCAATGGTTTCTGTGCATCTACAGTTGCTGCTGAAGCCCCAGGCAAGCTGCAGGGTGGTGGTTTTAATGGGTTCCACCTCAGACATGGCCCATTGTGAGAAGATAAGAAAGGCGTGCACCTCCTACGGGATCCCCTGCATCCTCCGAGTCACCTCGGCACACAAGGGTCCAGATGAGACACTCCGAATCAAGGCTGAATATGAAGGTGTGCTTTAATATTGACATAATTCCATCTTTAAACTGATCTAGGGATTCTTGATGATGTGATAATTTCTCTATGCTTTTTTTTGCAGGTGATGGGATACCCACTGTATTCGTGGCTGTGGCTGGGAGAAGTAACGGCCTCGGCCCAGTGATGTCTGGTAACACGGCTTACCCTGTTATCAACTGCCCTCCTCTCACTCCAGACTGGGGATCACAAGATGTATGGTCATCCCTCCGCATGCCAAGTGGTGAGAAGAGCTCTTTAGAATAGAATGCCTTTATTGTCACTATACAGATGTACAATGAGATACAGATGATCTCCTACTGTTTTAAAATTTTCCCCCTTATGGTAACCAAGTCTTTCTCTACTTTATTTATTTGTCCTCCAGGTCTTGGCTGCTCCACAATATTGTCTCCAGAAGCTTCTGCCCAGTTTGCAGCGCAGATCTTCGGGTTGAGTGACCACCTGGTGTGGTGCAAACTGAGGGCATCCATGCTCAACACCTGGGTGTCTCTCAAGCTGGCTGACCAGAAGTTACAGGCCTGCAGCCTCTGAAGAGCCCGGCGTGCTTCACACTTTAACACACTGTCTTTGTTTACTATTAAAACCCATTAAATGTAGTTGTTTGTCACACATATCATTCCATTAAGAGACAAATGATTAAAGCCTATATGTATTTCTGTGCATTTTCTTTCTTTAAGACTCATTTTTATGAATCCCATGATAGTTTGGAGGTTTTCATGATTTCTTTACAACCTTGGAAAAACAAAAGTTCAATGAGTGCACTTCATATGCCCTTCATGATTTAAAAAAAAAAAAAAAAAAAGGTGCAGAGCTTTGAGATAATTACCCAGGTTCTAAATTATACATACTGGCTCACCTACATACATGCATACAGATATGAGCGAGTGTATGCATTTATTTTTTTTAAAAATGGAGTTGAAGGTTCTACGATGTCTTAAGTTGAAAATGCCAAGGCCTGTTAACTCCTTATTAGACCACTTCACATTGTTGTCACCGTTTGGCTTTCAAGCGTAACACTGTACCAACTGTTGTGTGTCGTGGTGGTACTGTCATGCTCTGGGGCTGTTTTGCTGTCAGCAATACTGGCACATTGCACAAAAGAGATGGAATAATGGACTACCTCAAAATTCAACATCAGCTATATTTAACATCTAAAGGGTTCAAACTTGGACCCCATTGGATGTTCCGACAGGGCAATGACCCTAAATACATATTAAAGCTGTTCAAATAATAGATGAAGCAAGCCAATATTAAACTGGCGTAATGGCCTTCCCAAATCCCTGACCTCTCCTCTACTAAAAATGTGCGGACTACGCTTAAAGCTTGGGTTAGTGCCAGGAAATAAACTCTACCAATCCAGCCAATAAGAGTGGTCATATATCCCAACCAGAACTATGTAAGAAGCTTGATGGCTACCAAAAGCCTGGTGAAAGTGAACCTTGCTAAGAGACATTAAATCAAACAGTAGTAGCCATGAAAATCTAACAAATTGAAAGTTGTGTACCTAGTTCTTGTTTTAGATCTATGCTGTACAATCATTCAACCTTGTAAAATGAATAAATTACCAAGACATTTAATGTCATGGTATACATTTGGGAACAGTCAGATAACTTTAGGGCTATTTAAATCATTAATGTAGGGAGATGAGGAGGAGCAATTTCTACCTCAGTTTAAAATCAGAAGAAAGACAGTTTTTCTGCAGATACTTTCCCAATGGTTTTATCATCATGAGCAGGATTTCATCTTAAGAGATACTGTGGAGTACCTTTGCTAAATATGGATAATTTCAACAGAGGACAAGTTAAAAATAAGCAAAGTGTTGGGCATGGTATAAAAGACTACTGTTGGCACAGGTGCAACATCTTCATCTGCTCCTTACAGAGTCGCTGCATCCTTCTGTATACCTACAATATCAGTCTAAGCACTTAATGCATGTGTACTTGTGTTTATTTTTAAAAATCAAAAAGGTTCCCGTGTGAATCTGCATGTAGTAAATATGGCGATTTGTTGCATGGAGGCATGCAAGATAGCTGCTTTTCATCTAAGCTAAGTGGCTTGCAAGCAAGTCATGAACTGGGATGCAGAGCTACTTTTCTATTACTAAACCTTCACCTTATGTTTGCGTCTCATTCTTATGCCTAACTTCATGTTCTGCATGCTGCAGGACCTGAAATCAGCCACACGAGGGAGCCTGCACCCCATGTTCACGATCCAAAATCTTAACCTTTCATTTCGTTCCAGTAGTTTGCAGCCAAGGGAATGAGTCAGAATATCATGCCACCATTTTATTTTTTACTTGTATTATATCCCAGTTCTCCCTTTGATAACAAATGATGGGTATAATGACCTGTGATGTGCTAAATCTTTGTTCACGTGTGGGTGGCAGTGGGAGGATGGAAGTGCTGAGGGTTCCGAGCGTGGTTCACATGAGTGCATGGAGGCTGATATCTGATAATAATAATAAAAAAAAGTCTCTGCATTTTAATTTGGATCGAATTCCATACTTAAAAATATGATTTGCTGCACGAATCATCCTTCTTCTCTCGCAGTCGACATGCACCAGAAAGGGTAGAGGTGCAGTCACAGAGCTGAAATGGACATAATGTGTAAGCCTCAACGACTCCATGTTTCCTTGACAACAGTAACATGGCAACAATCACTCCATATACAATAATCTCCCTTTCCTTTTTCTGTTCCTTCTCTTATTCTCATGCTGGGCTCTTTGAGTCCATTTTTTAAAAAGAAAGCTCTTTAATTCCTGCCTGTCATCACTGGCCTTTCACTGTTTTACTGCGTACTATAATAGCTCACGAACAATAAATGAATCATCAGAAAAGCATAACCTGTAAATGAGTTATGAAAATGTGTGGTCACGACTTCATCTGGGCCTTGGACTGTTTTTAATGTGATTTCCTATTCAGTGTATAAAACACGTGGCAGATAGTAAAATAACAGACCTCAAGGCCACTGTGCACTCACTTTCTCAAGACTCAAAAAAGCAATTTATTTAGTTCTCAAAGCTGTGAAGGTTGCAGTTAAATGTCACTACTACAGTTTATTTACATGTTTCTACAACGGTATTTTTATCACCTCCTTTTCTGTCTACAGAGTTTCTATATCATCCTATCAACAATCATCCTCTGATGAGTGAGCCTCACAACATTGTCCTGTTATCACTGTTTCCTTCACATTTTCTTAGTCACTCAACTCCTCCTGTCTTGTCTACTCATTTGCATCACTACATCTTCTTCTCTTTGTTGGTATAATACATCCCTTCCAGCTATCCCTGTCAACAATCTAACCACTTGCTCCCCGTGGGGCACCATCACAGCGCTCCCAGATCGTGGCAGGAGCGGGACTTCTGCCTCAGGAACTTCCCCACCTCTCGCTCTCGAGGGTACCGAGGCACCAGATTGGACAGGAAACGTTTGGCACGAGATGTGATGCTTTCACGTTGCCCTCCTCCGCTCATGTCCTCGGCGCTTGTCCCCGGAGGCCAGGGAGACTGGCCCCTGGCTAGTCGCACCGCACACTCCAGGAGCTCCGCGGTACGGTGATCCAGAGAGGCGGAGATCTCCACATACAGACAGTTGAAAAGGGCAGCGCTAGACATGGCCTCTGTGAGAGGAAAACAGGAGACGGAGGAGATCAGTAAAAAGGCAGCTGTCACAGCTTATATTCAGAGCCACATGTCTTTTCATCCATATAAACCTTTCGATACTCCTTCACCTGTAATAGATTGTTGGTAGTAAGGTTCCAAGCCAGGACACGTCTAAGAGGAAGAGCTGCATGTCAGCCTTCAGTGACGACTAAGAAAGCGCTAACAAAGCACAATACTTGGGAAATATATGATAAAAATGTTCCCGCTTAAGGTGGAAACAACAAACATGTTTCACCACTTGAGGCAAAAACACACCAGGGAATACAACCAGGCTATGAAAGAGGAGATACCAGCAGCTGGTGATGTCCAACACAAAAACAAATGAGGGACTCCACTGAGATTTACTAGCTACACTCAGTACATGCACTCCACGTGACAGTGTTAAGCACTTGTTAAGGATACTTTAGCGCTCACTTAATGCTTGCAGGTCTGCAAGCATTAAGCATGCAAGCATGTTCAGTTTAAAAAATATATATACTGTCACAAATATTATGGTCACAAAACTTTCTTGAAATGTTGAGCACTACGTTGCGGGTTTATGATCCGTGCCTTAATCTGTGTTCAGAATACAGAAAAAGGCCATTATAACGACATAAACCATCACACGAACCCGGCCATTTATCCCAGGCCCACCGCTATTTTCAGTCAGCACATCGTAAAACACACTGTAAAGTATGGCTGAATAAATGAAATAGATCTGTGTGTACACAGCTGAATCAATAAGGACAGGTAGCTGTAAATATTGTGACTACACAGTAAGTCATTAGCAACCATGCTATGTTGTGTATCATCTAAGGCTTGTAGCTGGGGTTATGGAAGGATCTTCTACTCAAAGGAGCAATTACCCTTTAAAAGTGAAATTTTCAGGGTTAAAGTCTCAAAAAGATAACTAAAACAGCAAGAGCAAGCTTTTATCTCTTGGTAATGAAAACTGCGCTGGAGGGAAGACGTGTGCATGCTAAGTGAGATATCTTTCATAGTTTTCCAACTGTGCAAAACACGCAATACGAAGCATGTCATCAAGAGGTTTATACAACGACTGGATCGCCTGTGATAGTGATAGTTAATATTTACTGATTAAGTAAACAAGGACAGAGCTTGTATAAGCTACATCAAGCTGGAATTTTTGCTTTGGTTTACTTTAATTTCTTTATATAGTTCTGTAGCACATTTGTCTTTAGTTTTATCTTCACTGTAGGCCATGATCTCCCTCTGCAGTATTGGTCTGCAGGGTCATTTAAATAAGGAAGAATGGCATACACTGGGTTGAAAAGTATGTAGTTTCATAGCCTGTGTGATATAAAACTGTGGCGTGTGGACAAGCAGCGTAGTCACGGTGAACAGGCTTTTGCTTTAACTGTAATTAAACTCCCACACTGCAATAAAGCATGACATTCACATTTACGTTGTTTATGGAGAGAAAGAAAGAGCGTAAAATGTCAACGTCAAGTGTAATGAAGAAAGCCAAAACAGAACTAAACTGTGAAAAGAATCTGCTCCCAAAGGAAATGTTTATACTTTATATGAAAGAGTAATGTATCAAAAAAGATAATCCTCTCACCTTGAGAGGTGACCTCACGCGTGCGAACGAGGTCACTCTTATTACCAACGAGGATTATTGGAGTCTGGGGCTGTGTCTCTCTCAGGAGAAGCCGAAGTTGCGCGGTACGGTGGAAGCTGCGCCTGTCGGTCACCGAAAACACCAAGACGCACACCTCACTCTGCAGAGCCGACAGGTCCTTAATGACAAGCAGAAGGACAGAGGATGATGCATTTTTGTTCTTTGTGAAATATAAGACGCTAAAATAGAAATGAAATAAAAAAAAAAACCCAAAACAAACTCAAAGGTTCTAATTCAAACTGATGTAGTATTTTGCATATGAATCAAAGTCTTTTTCCTTCATAATGTTTTACTTTCCATTCCTGATGAATATTTCCACCAACCCTAAAAATACAGAAAAGAGAAAGATTGTGTTTGAAGAACCACCAGGTGGCTGATCTGTCTTTTTAACATTACCTGAAACCCTTGTTAGTCAACAGCTGCACACTCCTCTTTGAGCAGCAAAGGGACTCCAAAAATATCAAATTCCTGAGTGATTTCTTCACACAAAATTAACTCACCATCACTTTGTCTTTAGTCAGTGCTGCCATGGTCCGCTGAGTTTTCATTAAATTTTAATTAAGTCTACAACTGAGCACAGACCAAAAGGAACGTATGAACCCTAATGGTGTAACTGGGAAATTAGATAAATAGATTCCTTGGTGTGGTAGTTAGCGCTGCAACCTCACGGCAGATTTGAATCCACGTGCCAACTGAGGCCTTTCTGTGTGGCGTTTGCATGTTGTCCCCGTGCCTGCGTGAGTTCTCACAAGGTACTCCAGCTTCCTCCCAGGGTTCAAAGACATAATTGGCGTTTCTAAATCGGCTGTAGGTGTTAATGCGAGCATAAATAGTAAATTTGTCTCGCTATGTTACATCTACAACAGACTGGTGACCTGTCCAAGCTGTACCCAACCTCTCTTGCCCCACAACAGCTGGGGTAAGCTCCTGCCACAACCCTAAATTGGACAAGTAGTTGAACGGATGGAGATTCCTTATAAAGCCACAGTTTTAGTGTGTTTTAGCATTTCTCACATCTGGTAGCACAAGGAGTAACACATTACAATCCCCCACATCAGAAAAGACAGATTGTGCCACAAGGGTGTAGCTTCAGCGTTTTCGCACATGCACCTAAATCAGAAACATTAATGCAGTCCTTTGGCACACCAGCTCTGTGGGCGACTCCTGTCCTTCTGTATGTTTCTCTCTCTCCTATTCACATCCTCACGCTGATGCCTCAGCGCTGCACTCACGGGAAAAGAAGAAAGTGTGGAAAACAACCTGATAATGAGCTTTCTTTCAGTCGACCAGATGCAGATGCTGCAGATTGACTGTCCCCTTTTTGTCCAACATTTCTCTGAGCTTGACAGTTTTTGTTACAGTGATGGCAATAAACAATGCAGGGTGCTCCAAATACTGTGCACACTGTGAGCAGATCAAATGCTAAATATGCAGTAAGCATTTGTTTATATGTTGTAACTGAACCATTTTTTATGTTAAATGTAAGCTGTATTAGTAATCTATCAGAGGCGGTCTACCCTGCCCCCAACAATAAAATTGTGCTCACGAGTGCTGTGATATACTCGTGTTCATGCATTAATATGCTGTCAGTTCTGCTCGCAAATTTCTCTACACGCTCTTTCAAACTCTTTTTCTATTACCCCAGTTAATCTCTTAATACAGCGAAGCTTTATCCCTCCCGGCACACAGAGTTCTTCAAATACTGAAAAGCAAATGAAACCAAGTGCTGAAAAATCTAAACTGTAAAGGAGCAATTTAAGCTTCTTCTTCTTAAAGCAGTCCAAGTATTTCAACACAGAAGAGCAGCTGAACACACTGTATACAGCTGCACAGAGGGCTCACTGGCCTAATGAGGGAGCAGGAAGCAGAGTGGGAGCTATGAAGTGTTGTTTAGCTCACCTGTCTCCAGTTGTCATAGATAATGATGGTGCTCTCCTCATCATCCACGGTAACTGTGTGCACATAACCCTCCCCTAAGGACAAAGGGAGCAGCAGTTAGGTCTCAGGAGGGGAATGGGCACTGTGATTTATTTACTTGCTGCTCACTTACTCCACCGCAATATATTGCTCTGCATACAAACAGCACTGTACCATCAGAATCCACAGACGCAGTCCTGTCCATGTCTCCCGCGAGGGCCAGGGCCAGAGAGGACTTCCCGACGCCATTCTGCCCCAGGAGAGCAATCCTTAGTGGCCCGTCAGGTCTGCCCTCCACAGTCACGGTTGGAGTATCATCCAAGGCAGGGCTGAAACTGTTTGGGGACACCGAAGGCCCGGCCGCACCTGACGTCCAGTCGCATTCGTCGTGGACGGCTTCTTCTCGCCTGAGCTGGTGCTTAATTGGCAGAGGAGTGCTTCCTCTGCGAACGGTTGGAGTGCTGGGCAGAGTCATACTGTCGCACTGGTGGGAAAGAAGAACATAGACAGACAGTGTAACACTCGTGAAATAGTGATTCCCACATGCCAAACAGAGCAAATCCCAAATCCTGATCTACATGAACCTCTCCTTATTTTTTCCCTATATTTTTACTGTTGTGGATTCTATGTGCAAAAATGTTTGTGATCATAAAGCTCTAGGTTGTAGATATCCCTGATA